ACAATGATTCTATACACAAACTATTTGATAATCCAGAATGGATATAAAAGGGGAACGTTCTGCTTTAAACAGCAGGGCACTGAACTATGAGAAGAGACAGAGTGCATGGCTACATATTTAACAGATACATTTATGTCAAAGTTAAATCCAAATTGTTAGTAAGCACTCAAATAACTATGGTTTAGTTTTTAAGTTACTGGAATTATCATGCAAACACATTACTTTCTCACTATAATGCTTTCACTGTAGAATGCTTCCTTTACCAGAAGCAAAAACATTCAAATGTGCATGAGACAGAATCCTTACAAGTTGTTAATTACTACACCTCTACCTCGATATAATGCTGTCCTCGGGAGCCAAAAAATCTTACCGCATTATAGGTGAAACCACGTTATATTGAATTTGCTTTGATCCACCAGAGTGCGCAACCCCCCCCCGGAGCACTGCTTTACGGCGTTATATCCGAATTTGTGTTATATCCGGTTGCATTATATCGAGGTAGCAGTGTATTTGAATTGTTTTACACTGAAGTTGACACATTAACTCCTACATTGACAGCATCCCTTTAAAGCAACACAGTTAAATCTAATCAACTGCAAGATGTGAAATAATTCACTGCCAGTATTGTGACTTGACTTTTTGTTTGTTTCTCTCCTCTATGGCCACATAAAAGGCCAATCACATACAAAAGAAATTCACTGACTCTACAAAGCAAACAGTATGACTGACCACATGCACTATTATCAAATACAAGATGTATGCAAATGGGGGGGGGGGATTAATTTTTTTCAGTGATAGAAACCTTATTTATATCAATAGTACATAAGACTTCAGACAGAAGATTTTTTTAAGGTCTGCCACTTTGAATCAAAAGCAAAATTAAACCAAGAGTTGAAAAATTAAGATTTATAAAACAATCCAGTTGCTTAGTAAAACGCTCTGCGTGTGTACTAAACTGGGGAAGAGATTAAAATAAAATCTATTAGCCCCAAAACAGTGGTAAACTAGCCACAGCAGATAAGAGAACTTCTGACTTTAAGCTTTCATTAAAATTGTTTCTAGACCTTAAGGTCATGAAAATAACCCAAATATAAACAGAATGTAAACAAATGAAGCCGAGTGATCTTCCTGCATCTGCTGGTAGACTACAGCAATACCCCTTCAACTGCTGTTGGTAACTTTACCAAGCAGTAGCAGGATGAAATTAACAAGTTCTAGCCAGTTTCACAAATACAATTCAGAGCCTTGCTGGCAGCAGTGCAACTGTCAAGAGTGTCAGTTTCATGCTGCTGCAGTTAAGAAGAGATAGGAGCAGCAGCAGAGAAAAGCAAAGAAACTATTTACTGAAGGACCCCATAAAAGAGAAGATGCAGTAGGCATGCAGTATAGGCATCTCCCCAGATCCTCCACTTCAGAGCTGGCTAAGCAGGAGGGAGTAAAGCAAGGCTTAGGCTACGTCCTCACTATGGGGGGGAAGGGGGGGGGTGTCGATTTAAGATACGCAAATTCGACGTATCCGAGCCGACTTACCCCGCTGTAAGGACGGCGGCAAATCGACCTCCACGGCTCCCCCATCGACGGCGCTTACTCCTACCTGCACTGGTGGAGTACAAGCGTTGATTCGGGGATCAATTGTTGCGTCCCGACGAGATGCGATAATTCGATCCCCGAGAGATCAATTTCTACCCGCCGATTCAGGCGGGTAGTCTAGAGTAGACTAAGGCTACTCTAGAAGTTTGCCCGTACAGCTATACAGAAAACCCACCTAGTATAGATGCAGCTTAGACCAGCAAAAACATTCTTTCTTCTATAGTAAAATGCATTACTTGACCAAAATAAAAACAAATTATTAAAATAATTTTAAATAGACTTGGCAGAATTTCATGTTTATGTACTTTCCAGGAATAATATTGTTCGATTTTAAGCTTTTTTTTCTGATTTTTATTTAAATGTTCACAGTTGTGGGACATTGGGGGAGGAAGTCAGACAATTATTTAATGACATGATGAGGTTCAAGAAGTAAAAGCTTTATAATTTAAAACAAATTATTACATCAAAATATACAAAGGAAATATCCTTCGAACTCTAAAGTTCTCAAGCAGCATGTTTCTTATTTTGTCTCGCTGTACATTTCAAGTATTATCCAGGGAAATTATTTTTTCAGCAGTTTGTGTGAAATTGACATTTACTGACATTAACTGATAAAAATCAAATCCTTACAATGCTGATTATATCCTTCCTGTACAACTATTTTTGTCTTCCTTATTTTGGATCTTTGTTGCACAATAGTCACTGTAAGTGGAGAGAAATGCTTATGGTTTATTAAAACTCTACAGTTCAGGCAAAGAAAGATGCCTAGCACTAACAGCACCAATTATTAACTGCTGTAAAGATCAATTAGATCTTGTAGCGCTTATGAAAAGCAACAGATGGCAAAGAGTGGGATACTACAACAATAAAGACAAAGGGGGTGTTTTTTGCTCAGATTGCTTCGCCCCATACTCCCTTCAAATTAACAGAATTTACACCTAGGGATATTACAAGTATTTTAGAAGTAATATTATAGCATCTTAAAGTGCACAATTGAATTTATCTTATAAAAAGTTACATGAAAAAATGTAAGCCTTAAAAATATGTTTTAAGATGTTAAGTACCATTTGAAATCTTTTGTACACTAACCAAAACCATCTACATTTACCAGGTTTCATAACAAACACACACCACACCCAATGCTAAGAACACTCAGCATTGCCCCTCAAAGCTCTAAAATATATAGCCATACAAAACTGCAGGAATCTAATATTCCTATCCAGTGATAAGTAGATTTCAAGTACAGATGGAAAACGCAAGTTGAAAGGGAATATATGAAATGTGATCCTGCAGGTTTACATTTCAGGGGAAGAGCCAAGCCTGTCTCCAAGGCATAGGTAATTCTGAAGATAGAAGTTTTCTATTAACAAATATTGGATACCCCATCATCTGTTACTCTTTTTTCCTTAAAATTACAAAGCCAAATGATACGAACTATTTGTTTAAAATGAAGCTATTACCAAGCAAGCTGCTTCAATAGGTAGGGAAGCAGAAACCTGAGAGCCAAAAGTGAAAGAGCAGGTCAACCAGTTGGTCTCCTTTCTTAAACATGAAGCACTTTTTAATTAAAGATGATTGATTTACACAATAGGCACTGACAGAGATACAACTGTACAGACATTAGGTATACAATTAGTTCAGTTACCATGGGGAGGAAAGATTGTACTGTGGTCAAATACACACATGCTGCCATGCCATTTTGTCTGCACCAAATTATACACATTCATCAAGAACGCAAGACATTGATAGCATCCGAATCTGACTGAAGACAGCTTATTTGAAAGCTTAATTTTTTTTTCTGTCTATGATTCTGGTGGAAAAGCAGCATAGGTGGAGACTCATCAGGACTCATACTGAACCAATGCTCTATCACCAAACAAGGTTCAAGGCCTTACAAATGGCTCTCAGAGGCCACTGGTCTCATAGGCACCTCTTTTGTACTACACAGTGCCATACAAAAAGAGCCTCTAGGCTGCTTCTTATTCCTCTCTTGTGGACAAGGAAGTAAAATGAGAAGAGGAGTAATGGGTATTCATCAGTGACATATCACCAATTAACACCAAGGATGAATTCGGCCCCTTTGGTAAGAATGCCACAAAATCACAATTATCAATTCTGACATGGCATTGTAATGAGGTGTCGATGCATGAAAATGCTGCATTGTGGTGACAGTCATGACCCTCCAAATGAACATGTTGTGGATCTCCATGACTCCATTCACTGGGTGAAAACTGGATCTAACCTGAATCCTGATTATTTATGGACCCAAGACCCTAAACTGTACAGTCAGAATAGAGAACAATTCTAGCTACTCCCACATAAATAAATTCAGACCTCCACAAATCTGAGCATCAGTGCTACAAAAACCCAGATTCAGCAATTGGATCCTGTAGGATCTATCCTATTTTGGCCCTCACCAGCCAAATTCTATGACATGAATGAAGTATGGCTGCTTCTATGGCACTAAAAAAGTTCAGACCCCATTGCATCCCAGCACTTGAGCTTAGCTAAAATCTAGATCTAGCATCTGGAGCTTGGCAGTTTTCTGGCCAACACTGTACAACCTAAATAAAAATTTGTGTAACAACATTGGAAAAATCTGGATCCTGACACATCTCAGCCCAATAGCACTGGAAAAACAAAATCTTATACCTGGATCCTGCTAATTTTTAACTCCAGTCCCCCAAATTCTACTCTCTAAACAAAACAAAAATAGCAGGTCCCAGTAGACCTTAAAAAAAAAAAAAAAAAAAATAGACCTTTTTGCAAACTGGGACAACAGTAACATAAGTAGATTCTTCTTGAGCCAGGTCTTTTTTAAATCCCAAATCCCAGAATTCTTCTAGCTAAAGAGAAATGCAACTCCAATTCTACTGCAAAAATCCACAGACAGCTCACTAGCACTGCAAAGACACATATCTGTACCCAGATTCTTTGGGAGCCTACAATTTTTTTACCTCAAGCTCCCAAACTGAACTGTCAAATTAGACAACACACGTTGCTAATCTCACTCAAACAGAAAAATCCAGACTCCAACAATGCAAAAAACATATACCTGGCACTTACGACTCGCCAGATCCAGCAAATTTTTATCCACAAACCTCTAAATTCTACTGTTTAGAACCTAGCCGCTCCTAGGACATCACAGAAGTCTGGCCCCTGACACCACAAGCACTTGAAACAATCCAAATATGGCTCTGGATCCAGCAAGGTCTAGCCCAGTTTTTCCATCTCCAAAGTTTTACCTTTTAGCTACACCCAAAGTGGAGTTTTCCTTTTCTACACTAGTTTTCTATTTAACTTGTACAATTGTACGGGTGGTGAGGGGGGTAGCAGAGTTACAGGGAGTAGCACAGAGTGGAAAGAAGTGGAGGCTATGCAGAGGGGTCCTAGCTGTGTTGGGGCCTCACCTCCTGGATGCGTTTGCGGGCCCGCTGCAGCACCTCTTCGTAGCCCTTCTGCCGCAGTTCGCTCAGGCTCTCGTAGTACTCTTCGGGGTCGTCGGTCTCGGTGAAGAGCACCTGGGAGAGGATCTTCCACCCGCAGGTGTCCAAGCTATGGCCCAGATAAACCTGTAACTGGTAACACAGCGCGTCCATCTCCTGCTCGGACAGCTGCGGGGCCCCGAACAACACCGTCCACATGCCCGAGGGCTCCTCAGGGAAGACGGGCAGGCAGGGCTCTAGCTCCGAGTTCACCGAGCACAGCTGCTGATGCACGGCCCGCAAGTCCTGGAAGGAGAAGAGGCCGGCCCAGCTGCACTCCTCCCCCGAGGAGTCCGCGTCTGCGGCCGGCTCGGCACCTTGCTGGACTGGTCCCGGCAGCAAAAGCAGCGGGGTCGTGGGCTCATCCTTCACCAACTCCAGCACCTCGATCTCCTCGGCCGCACCTGCTGGGCTTGGCGCCGCCGCCTCCGTGCAACGCGGAGGCCTCCGGACCGGACTGGCCTTCGTTCGCAGCGGGCTCTTCAGTATCGCCTCTGCCCCGGCCGCGGCGCCCTTCTCGGTGCTCCGGAGCAGCGAGTCCGCGCGGGGATGCGAGGAGCTCCTGGCCGGGCTGGAGTCCGCCCCGCAGGCCGAGGTCCGGCGGGCCGCGGGGGCGCCAGCCTGGGCAAGGGCCCTGTGCTCCTGTCCACCGGGGCTGCCCCGGCGCAACTCCCGCGAGCCGCTGCGCTGCCGCTGAGCCGTCCGGTTGTGGCAGGTGATGGCGAACTTGCCCTCGATCTCGTTCCAGGCCACGATGAACGCGAACTTGTGCTTCTCTCGCTCGAGGAAGGCGTGGGGCCTCACCGCCACCCAGTCCGCCTCCAGCGTCTCCTCCAGCGCGAAGGCGGACATAGTGCCCCGCTACGCGCCCGCGCTAGGCATCCGCATCCGCCGCCGGCTCACTGCCCGCCTTCAGCCATCTTGGGGGAGAAGGATGCGCCGGGGGGGAACGGCCGCTCGCGAGCTCGGCCTCCTGGTGCCGCTCGTCGCCCAGCGCGCGCGACGCGGGCTGCGCCGGCCCCGCCTCCCGCCGCGGTATCGTCCTGCACCGGGCGGGCGGGCGCCGCCGCGGACAATACAGCTCCCCGTACAGGTACTTCGCACGATCACGTGCGCCAGAAGCAGGCTCTGTTTACAAGCGACGCGGCCGCTGCGGCATCTCACCCCGCCCTAGGGTCCTGTCCCGCCCCCAAGCCACTTGCTGTCCCCGCCCCTCCTCCGGCTCCTCTCCTGTGAACGGCGGGGGGCGCGGGCGGCCGGCGCTCCTCCCCTGCCCCACGCCGCCAGACAGAGCTCCCCCCTCCTCCACGGGGATGCTCCTCCCGTTCCCCTTCCTCACGCTGTCACCGGTCCGTAGCCTACGTCAGGCTCAGCGGAGGGGCGCGAGGAGCCGCAGGTGCGGCGTTCAGAATCACCGCGGCCCAACGGCCAAGGGGAGGGGGAGCTGGGGTCGGCTTGCCCGGGGAGCAGGCGCAGGCGCAGTTGGAGGGAAACAAAATAAAAGCAACAGTTGGGGAGAGAAGAACCTGTGCCGGCTGAGGCCTGTGTGACACGTTACCCTCCTAATCGCCTCTGTCGGGGTGATTTAACTGGAGTCTCGCCTTCCCTGCAGCGAGGGGTAATTCGAAGTCAATCCTCCGCCCGTCTCCACAGCTGCTGGCTCTGGCGGATGGAATGTCCAGGCGAAAGTGGCATGGGGCGCTGCCGCCTCTGGGATAACGGGGGTAAGGGAGGAGGGGTCAATTCCTCCATCTCTGTCAGTTCCGGGGCAGCTCGGCTTCCTTTTGTCTTTGAAAACCCATTGTCTCTCTGGGTCCCATGATTTAGTTTCTCTTCCGTTTCTTGGCATATCATCCTGTTTTTCCTTGCCGCAAATCTGTAATCCCAAAACAACGTCAAGGGATTCTCTCCTCATTAGCTGCTACTCCGTGTAGGAGTCAAAGGGACAGCAACTAATCACTAACTCATCCTGCTGTTTCACTTTCTCCTCCACTGTCCTCTCTTCTCACACAGACTTTCGTTTCCCAAATTGCTACCCTTGTTTTTTCAAAAAGGACACACCTAAAATGTATTTTTCTATTTCAGTCACCCAGCCCAGGAAAGAACTTAATTGGCATTGAAGGACATGTAAATCCCATGCTGTAATAATGAAGCCACATTCACTAACGGCGGGTGCGGTTGGCTTGGGATTTTTGGTACTCTTCACATTCCCCACATACAGTCTTTCCTGGAGAAATGGGAAATGATTTGGTGTTTTATGTAGGTTATCTTATTTCCTTATCTTGAGTTACTCATTGTGATATCTGGGCAACTATTGCACAAGTTAAAAACAAACCTCTGTTATCAGTGACTGAGACAAATAAAGTCCACGTCTGTTGCTGGTACTCCCTCCCTTACTCCTGACTAGAAACTGAATACATGCATCCTGCATGACATCGTAAAACCATCAAACTGAGGTGCTGGAATACCTCAAAAGGGTAATTTCCAGAGTCAAGGGACCTCCAGCAAGAATGCTCACCCCCGTCCTGCCTTTAGGAGTTAATGTCCGTGGATAGGTAGCAAAAGCACTCTGGCAGATAGCAGCCTCTATGATGGGACTTGTGGACAGAAGCAGTCGCTGAAATAGCCAAGTCTTGGGTGGTTTTATAGATGATATCTTGATGTAAACTGAGAGCACCAAGGCACAGCAATTACATGCTCATGTTTGCCTGCCCTACTTAAAGGTGGGCAACTTTATTCTGCATTGGTTGATGCTTCAAGTAATACAGAACATGCTATATCTAAACTGGACAATTGCACTGTAAGGACCGCATCAAAAAAGGGATAACTAGTCACCTGTAATTCTGCTTCTCTTTTGATATAATTTGACTGGATTCCTGCTTTTGAGTCTCAGTTTCTTAGTATGAGACTGGGTGAAATCTCTAGCTTTCAAAGATTTTGGCACTGAGAATTCACCCTTAGTCTGAGACCTACTGCCAGTGTCATGGTGTCCTTTAGAATGTCCCCTTTCACTTCCTGGATGAGTGGGAAACAGAATTCGCCTCAAATTTAAATGTAACAACAATAATAGAGCCCCCCAGGACAAGACCATTAGAGAAAAAACAGTAATTGAAAAATGTTCCCCCCGGTTTCAGATCTGAGGGGAGGTGGTACATGAGTAAGAATCACTCCTCAAACAAGATTGTCAGAGAAGCAGAATAAGTGATTAAATGATCCCTTCTCTAATGACAGGAGTCCTAGAAGTCGCTTAAAAAGTCCTATTTTTGGAAACAGTTTGAGGATAGCCTCTGCAAACCCGAACATTCTCCAAACATGGAGGACCAAAGACACTGTACAAACCGATCTCATGTACCCTGGAAAATTATGGTGACTTCTTGAATGCCAAAACTTGGAGCTGGTGGGAAAAGTGAGGGAAGTGTTGACTCAGTAGCAAACAGCCAGAGACAGGACCATATATATGATCCTTAGGCTGAGGATGATATACGTTTTGTACTTGTAGCGGGATGGTCACCACACTCATGCCCTGAAGGGCTTAAAACAGCCCTGGGTGAGGGCTGGGGAGGGGGGGAAAGCTAGGCAGATTGGGGGAAGCCAGCCACAGGTGGGGCCACGCCCCAATCAGGCCATGGCTGGCCCTATAAGAGGGCTGAGGGCCAAAGAGTAGAAGAGACTCTCTCTAGCTTATGAGAGAGAAGGACCTGGCTGCCTGGGAGCTGAGAAGGGTACCTGAGGTGGAGCAGTGCTGGGGAAGGGCAGAGGAAGCTTGGGAGCTCCAGCCTGGTAAAACCCCAGGCTGCAGGCCTTGCTAAAAGGCCAAAAATGGTACTGGGGCTGCAGAGGGGCAGCCCAGAGATAGGCGAAGGCAGCAGGTCCTAACCCCCTTGCTGATAATGAGTGGTTTACAGACTGCAGTCTGCCCCAGTGAGCGGGGACTAGATGATGACTGGCAGTAGCCACTGAGGCAAGGTGGGGATAGAGGGTTGGGGGTTCTCCTGGGTGGGGAGACCCAGATTGTGGGTTTCTGCTGGGGCAGAAACCTGATGTAGAGGGACACTGGGGTTCGGGAGGGACATGGGGGGCCAGCGGCAGGCGAGACGCTGGCCTGCAGAGATGTGCTCTGGGCTGGAAGAGCTAATTCCCAGGATGACCAGCAGGAGGCGCTGTGCTGGTGAGGCATCGCCCTGTGACAGTACTCCAAAGCAGGTATGCAGAAGGAAATGCATTCCTTTGCATTCAAGGACCAGACACATGTCGAGTGGTGTGGAAAACATGACTATACCAGACATAAAAGTTAGGAGGGAAGAACATCATCTCAGAGAAAAACTGGTTCGAAAAAGGGAGATACTCCAATGAAAGGTAACTTCTATCTATCATGTAGGTTAAATGCCAACGCAATTCAACAAATATAAATCAAACATAGCTTCCAATGTGAAAATGGTTTTCACTTTTGTGTCCAGAGAGGAAAGCTATAGACTGTTTCTGTCAGGTATTCAGAAAGAAACTCTTCAGGAGATGAGTGTAAATATCAATCTGATTTTGTCTTTAATAATGCACAAATGAAAAAATGTCAATGTTTAATACATACCAGTAAATATATCCAGTCTTTCTACTGGTATTAGTACTTTTGAGACACTAAAACTGTGGAATCAGTATCTCAGGTCTTTGTGATCCCTGATGGACATAGTGCCGAGGACTTGCTCAGAGAGGGATGTATTACCCTAAAAAGGAAACTCAAGGTTGACCCAACAGTAGGAATTCAGTCAAAATGGTATCTTTAGAACAGAAATGGTTTCACTCCTTGACAACAGATAGGCTGCTGGTGTCCTGACACCACAGCTTGTCATGCTGACCAGTACTGTCTTATTTTTTTCCTTGTATACCCCAAGCGGTCTGTCTGTTTCCATCTTTCGTTTCTTGTTTTATACTTAGATTGTAAGCTTTTTGCGGCAGGGACTGTCTGTTCTGCGTTAGTAAGCATGTAGTACAGAGGGATCCTGGTCCATGACTGGGGCACCTAGGTACTGTGATAATACAAATAATTAATAATCATCATCCCAGGGCCAACTAAAGATGAAAAAAGGCACTTTGAGCCACTGCTGTCACCTGGGAATCTATGAGTAGTGATATATCTAATAAGAATCTGGGCTGGCAAGCCAGTTAAAAGGTAGATTTACTACCTCATTGTAATGTATAGTGGTGAGATAACTTCCATAGATTCCTCAATATGTTTTTTTCCTGCACACCAGTATCATCTACAACTTATCCAGATTGAGCCTGTGCCAGCTAGTTTTCAGACAGGATCCTAATTCAGCCAGGCACTGGGAAATCAAGAAAACTACAGAATCCAGGTTCAATGAGAAGGAGACACAAAGCTGAGTACGGTTCCAAACACTTCACAATCTCCACTAGCAGCCTCATATACAGTAAATGTTGAACAGGAGAGGTGGCAGGATGAAACCTTGTGGAACCCCACATGTGAGTGCTCTCAGAGAGGAATAACAATTGCCTATCACAAACCTCAAGGTCCTCCCTGAAATGAGTAATGTGAACCACTGTACAGTGATCTCACCCACACCTGGATAAATCATCTTCTGTCTACTAATGCCCTGAACAGCAGAAACATTCTTTAAAATGTTTGCTTAAACATTCCTATCACCTAATTTGTGACCCCTACAGAAAGAAAAGTGCTCAAGGCTTAACCATAATTACATCCTCTTGAATGGAATCCAAATGTTTAAACACTTTGCATAAGCTAGTTCTATTGCTAAGTCTTTTTGAGGAAACCCAAGTCCCATCACTGTCTAGGAAGTCTAGTATATTGGGAGAATTTAAATCATTTTCAGACAATTCCAGTCTCCCATGCTGTTGTAACGTCGTTTATGTTCACATTGTCACATACTATGTTTACCAGTTATGCTACTGTAGTTAGAGGGCTAGTCAATCAAATGGTTTGAAGCACTGTAGCAGTGAAGGTATTGGTTTTTAAAACTTCCT